AGAAGGTCGGTGATCACCTCATCCCACTGCCTTTGTTAGTTAGGACGCCCGCATGCTAGCCACGTGTATGTGAACTGTCTTCCATACATTCCCCACAAATCGTTCGTTCTCCTACCGTCTCCAGATCGTCCCTCTTTTCAGCCTTGCTTCAATCTAAGGAAACCGCAAAGTAGGACCACCGCCAATACCAGTTCATCACTTCACTGTGCTGATTTGGATGTCTGCGAGAAATCGGTTGATTAGTTCACTGAGCGTTTGGTTGGCCTGATGGTCGTAACCTTGGTTTGTCGTTCTGCAGATCGGCGTGAAGGCAAGCCACCGCCCCTGTTGCACGATGTGATAGTACACTATGGTGAACGACTCTCTGCTGACGAGAGAGTAAACCGAATCTCGAGAGCAATCAGGGCGATTCACGGCACGAAGTCTTGCGAAACCACCACTTCCCTTCCACTCACCGGTGATACGACTGTCACCAACAACGAGTGTTGCAGTACCTCACCGAATGCACAACCCCAACCTCCGACTCCGTTGAGTGTCGAGGTTACGCATAGGTATGTTGAGAGTGGATTTCGTTGACTGTTCACCTCGTCTCGGTAGCCCGGATGGGGAGTTGTGGGTGTGGATTGGGATCTGGTGTGTTGTTGCATAGCTTTTGTTGCAGTGACTGTGCCAACGAGGTGGTGGAAGGGGATGAGGGTCCGGTGTCGTTGATTTTGGTGATCGGCACATCGTTGACGGTGCTACGATTCTACTCCTTTCTGTGGCCTCGTGGGTTGCGTCGTTGTCTAGGTGCTGGTACCAAGTCTGGTGTTAGTGGTAGTTGTGGTGGTGGTGGTGGTGGTGATGATGCTGATGTTGGTGGTGGCGGCAGCAGCGGCAGACCCACGAAGCGGCCTCGAATCAATCGTAGTTGTGAATCGACCACCATTGCAGCTGCAACCGCAACAGCAACAACGGCATCTACTACTACTACTACTACTGCTACTGCTGCTAGTAGCACTGCTACGAGTGTGACGACGACGCAACCATCGACAAGGGAAGCGGAATTGAGCGACTGCACGGAAACCTGCGAGTTGGCTATCATCAACATGCAGAGCACGTGCAAAGACGGTCTTGCGTGTTTCATCAGTCGACGTGAGTGTGATGATATTCTGCGGGAGACTGTGGAGGGTCAACTGGGTCTCTCTGTAC